TAGAATTTTGTTTTGTTACCTCAAAAGTGGTGATATTAGTGCATATTCATTCCACTAAAGGAGATATTAAAGCATATTCTTTCCACTAGAGGAGATATTAGTGCATATTATTTCCACTAGAGGAGATATTAGTGCATATTCTTTCCACTAGAGGAGATATTAGTGCATATTCTTTCCACTAGAAGTGATATTAGTGCATATTCTTTCTTTCTAGAGGAGATATTTGTGCACATTCTTTCCATTAGAGGAGATATTAGTGCATGTTCTTTCCACTAGTGGTGATATTAAAGCATATTCTTTCCACTAGAAGTGATATTAGTGCATATTCTCTCCACTAGAGTAGATATTTGTGCATATTCTTTCCACTAGAGGAGACATTAGTGCATATTCTTTCCACTAGAGGAGATATTTGTGCATATTCTTTCCACTAAAGTTGATATTTGTACATATTCCTTCCACTTCCTATACCCCCCCCACTCCCTAACCTCTTTTATGGTGCAAAAAAACTTTTTATTTGTTTTAAATTCCACATAAATTACTTGTTAAATACAATTTTTATTTGTGAATTGTTCCAGGGAACAATACTCTGTAAATTGTTGAAGTACGTGAGGAAGGGGGGGGGGGGGAACTGAAAGGTGAGGCTCCAATGGTCATAGTTTTTAATCAAACATTTTCCGTTTTACTAAAATGAATGGAAAAAATGTGATTTTAATTATTGTTGAAAGAAATCGCACATTTCTAATTGAAATAGCTTTTATGATTGAAAAACAATGTTTGTTGATTTTTCATTATAAAGTAAAATATTTGTTTGTTTTCTTCTTTGATTCATAAATGTGATTATGAATTTCGAATATTCCTTTATTTTTGGTTAATTTGTATGAATAAATAAATCAGTTAATCATTATTAATCATTTTTGTTCACGGTTCAGAAGAATCTTCAGATTTGGTCGCTAAAGCGTAAATTTTGGTGAAAACACGCATTATTAGAAAAAAATAATTAAAATTCAAAGGTTTTTAATATTTTCTTAATTAAATGAAAAGTTTTCCTATTTATTGCTAAATTGTTAAGGTATCAAAATAACCTTCATCCCTTGAAGGGTGTAAAAAAAATTTAACACGTTTTTCTCTCAAAGGTTTGATTATCATCTAATATCTAATTAAATCTATATATAAATTTGACTTGTCTGTCTGTTTGTTTGTATCCAATAAACGTCAAAACGGCTGAACCGATCGGGCCCAAATTTTTTTGTGGGACATCACGTGACCACAGGGAAGGTTTATGAATGATAACTTGATTAGTCAATGCTCACCCTGAACTAAGGTTTCTGTGTGTTCTAAATGAATCTGCAGTAATCTGACCGAAGATAAAGTACCGTTTAGTGGAGAGTGAGCTTTTAAATTAGGCATTGACATTTTTGCGTGGAGTGTCATCTGAAATGACGCTTTCAGTCCCTTTAATCCTTCCCTGCCACCTATTTAGTACATATCCATGTGTGCTGATTATCACGATATAATCATGTCACTGCTCACAATACTGAAAACCTTTGATATCTTATTTAGATAGGAGCACGCAACATCTAGATATTGGAACCGGAGACAGATACATTTCAAACCCGAGACAGAATTGAATGAATTTGAGCTATATCACTGAACTAACTACCCGCCGGTTCAAATCTTAAATCACCGATTCAAACTTGAAAATTTATGAGGTTTGAATCGGTGATTTAGGATTTAAACAGTTCATCGACCATGTCAATTCATTCAATTCGGTCTCGGACCCCAATCCCATCAATTTAAAAGCTGAAACGATTTGTCTTGAGACTAAACTAAAATTAGCATTATGCTTCTATATATATATATATATATATATATATACTTTGCATGTCTGTCTGTGTGTTTATTTGTATCCGATAAACGTCAAAACGGCTGAACCGATCGGGCCCAAATTTCAAAATTTGTGTTTCAAAGTTATTTATTTTTGTAAAATTTTAAAAATGCGCGATAAAATATAATGAAATCCGCTTTATTTTTTATACTGTAAGAAAGAGAAGATAAAGATAAAGCCAGATAAAGCCACAGTTAAAAGTTGAAAAAGAAAATGGGCGCGAAGCGCCCTAGAAGCCTAGTATTGAATATTGGGACTAAACTAAAAACCATTCGTGTCAGAGTTTTACGTCAAAAATGTACTATCAATAGATTAACGAATATTTGTTTATTTTCCAAAAGCTCTCATTCAAACAGGATTTTTTCAATTACTTCTGTGAAATTGAAATTAGAAACAAGCATATTAGTTTTAAAATGCTTTTGTAATACAAGAATGAGTGGGTGAGGTAAATACAAAGCTCAAGGCTTTGCGACACTATTTAGTCGATGTGGCATCAAAATATTTTCTATAAATATATCTGTGCTCTTATTAAACCTCTAAATAATATTTTTTGAATAAATCCTCTTAAAGAATTTCCAACAGTATTCTCATAAAAAGTATATTTCTGCAAACATGTTCTCTAGCTTAGTATCAGAATACAGGGCGTAGTACAAACATGTTCTCTAGCTTAATACCAGAATACAGGGCGTAGTATAAACATGTTCTCTAACTTAGTACCAGAATACAGGGCGTAGTACAAGCATGTTCTCTAGCTTAATACCAGAATACAGGGCGTAGTACAAGAATGTTCTCTAGCTTAATACCAGAATACAGGGCGTAGTACAAACATGTTCTCCAACTTGGTACCAGAATACAGGGCGTAGTACAAACATGTTCTCTAGCTTAGTACCAGAATACAGGGCGTAGTACAAACATGTTATGATAGAAAAATGTTTCCGGCCTTAACACATTTGTCGTATAATAGATGAGATATACAAGTTTTATTTTTAAACTAAAAGATGTTTTTTAACTTACAAGATTTTAAAGTTTTTTAAACAAAAAGTTTGTTTTAAACTAATAGTTTTTTTAGCTTAAAGTTTTTTATCTTAGAGTTGTTTTTTAAATTAAACGTTTTTTTAAAACTAAAAGTTGATTTGTTTTACTTGTTTCTCTGTAAACGCCACTTGCAGATTAGTAGAGAAGAGACAGAAAAGAACATTGTCAAGATAGAAAAACGAAGATATCTTTCTTATTGTTACTCAGATGAAGGTTTAAATGGTACTTTAATGAATCGGACATGGAGGATTCCTTGAAATTGCGTTACACTCCAGCTGTTAGCATAAAATTGGGCGCAAGTAAAACCGTTATTTACTTATATAGATGATACATTTTTTTCAATCCACCGTTTTATCAATAGACTTAGATACTATGATACTTGAATTTTATCTTATATTTATTCAAAAATGTCAAGTTATATGTAAATATGGTATTCCAGCTTATATTGATCTTGGTCAAACAAGAGACAGAACTAAAATTAAAACCATCACAAACTTTTATTATTTTCAAGATAATACAGAGAAAGATCCAATTTATTCAGTTTCTTAGAACCAGAAATACGTGTTTAATAAAATAGAATTTAGTCTAAAAATTAATCTGCACTCTCCTCACTTGAATCTAGCATGATCATGATTGTTGACCATCTTTCATCAAATTTTGCAAATTAAGAAAAAATACTTAAATTTTTCTTTGGCGCTTCGCATATCGAATTTCTATAGAGAATTTCTAACAATTTTCTCGTTTTCGACTTTAAAAAAGGCAGTTATTCCTTATTTATTATCTGAAAAAAACCTGTATATATGTTACTTCTCATGAATATTACATATACCATTTAAGGTTACACAAACCTGACAACTCTAATACCACGAAATATGATAGGGATTATATCGGACTTTTAGGACTTTTGCAGACTATAAGAGGAAAACATGGATAAACCTCTTACTGGCAAAACAGGACTTAGGGATTTCTATCAGAAGGACTATTATGTATTATAGACAGACGAAAGAGAGTCAAGTACTGCCAGGAACAACTATTAACTACTAAGGATTGCACAGACCTACGATTAAGGAACTATAAAGTGGAAAAATATGACTAGTGGATAAATAACAAAAATATGACTAGTGGATAAATAACAAAAATTGCTGTTGACTGTAATACGGGACTTTATATACATAGTGAATATGAATCAGCCTGAAAACAGCGCTTTCTTTTTAAGAAAAAAAATTCGACAGGGGGGGCTAGCCCCCCACCCACCAAGCCCACAAAATCTAATTTCGCCCCCTCCCCTTCACAAAAGTACTAGTTGCGCTATTGAGCATATGATCAATGTAAGAAACAAACTCGTTTAAAAATATTGAGTTATTGCCACAAACTTCAATTTGTTTAGCCCTGCATCTTTGCCACCCGATGTCGTAGACCATAGATATTTCAAAGTGTGAATTCTTTTAGATTTAAAAGTCTAATTATGAATACAATACAATACAATATCAGGTTCCAAAGATATAGGAAATGGAAAATTTGAGTTTGTGGCAAAAATTCAGGTCTTTTTTCGTCTGGGAATTTTATGTTCGAAAAACTAAATCTAAACTTGGAAATGCTTTCTTATTTTTAAAACTAAGAATTTTCTGCCCAGAGACACTCTTATTTTATCATCCCAATCTGTAATAATGTGTTTAAAACTCTGGAAGAAAAAATGATTTGCAAATTAAATATTTTTTAATAATTTTTTTATTATCAATTAAAGGGCTTTAAAGTGCCTCCACTTGGTTGCGCCACAATTTTTCCAGAGAGAAAAGATTAGATTTCTACTACATCGAAAATTTTATTTTTACAATTCCAGAATTTATAATTGGTGAAAGATTTACCTAGAACAAATAATTAAAATAATTAATTTTCAATAAATTTAACCTACTGGAAATCAGAAGAGTGTAGGATGATGTTTAAATTCATGTTTATTGGGACAAACTGTATCATCTTCTCTAATAATATGATATCATAACTCTGATGTTTCTACCGCGCATTTACATAATGATCCAGGGGAGCTCGTTGCCAGCTCTCCCCCCCCCCACGCTCTGGAGATCTGAGCGCGGTTCAGAACTCACACGGCTGGAAGACAGGCAGGTTCTCTGTCTGTAGTTCCAACATGGAGAAATTATATTCGTCTCTAATCCTCATTCTACTAATCTCTTCTGTATCCGCGCAACATTTTATATCTGCAGAATGGCAGGCAGACCCTTTTATTGTTCGATCTGCCAGATACAACAGACAGTTTCAGAATCCTGGTAGCCATTGCTCCCCCTCACCCTGCGGGGAGAACACAGAGTGTATGGTCAACAACCAGGGGAACCCTATTTGTAGTTGTATATCCGGGTACGTGCCTAAACCTAGTCCTGTGGATGGATGTTGTCCTCCAGAGCAGAATTTAGGTTCTCCGGTTATACTTCAGAACAGGCTGGGAGGAGGTCCAGCACATCTTTCTCTAGGAGCTAGACAACAGTCCGATCCTTGTAGTCCTTCTCCATGTGGGCCTGGAACCACATGCTCCGTGAACCGGGATGGGAACCCAGAGTGTAGATGTCAACCTGGATACACCCCCAACCCTGACACTATCACCGGATGCAAACCAGAGTGTAACATCGACCCGGACTGTCGGATGGGTTTCGTTTGCAGATCCAATAGTTGTGCTAAGAAACCAGATCCATGTCAACCCAACCCATGTGGTCCTGGAGCAAGGTGTTCGGTTAACTCTGCAGGGAATGCTATATGTCAATGTGAGCCTGGATTGATCCCAAAACCTGATACAATTACTGGTTGTGGTCCAGAGTGCACCAGAGATCCAGACTGTCAAAGAGGTTTTGTTTGTCAGAGCCAAAGGTGTGTAGAAAAACCAGATCCCTGTGACCCTTCTCCATGTGGACCTGGAGCACAGTGCTCTGTCACAGGAACTGGAAATGCAATTTGTAGATGTGAATCAGGACTAATTCCAAACCCGGATACTATTACTGGTTGTAAACCCGAATGTATCCGGGATCCGGATTGTCAGTCTGGCTTTGTCTGCCAGAGTCAGAGATGTGTTGAAAGACCAGATCCTTGCTTCCCCTCTCCTTGTGGACCTGGAGCTGTGTGCACTGTAAACTTTGGTGGAAACCCAATCTGTAGATGTGAACCCGGATTAATTCCTAAACCTGATACTATTACAGGATGTGGACCAGAATGCATCCGGGATCCAGATTGTGAATCTGGATTCGTCTGTCAGAGCCAGAGGTGTGTGGTCAGACCTGATCCTTGCAACCCTTCTCCATGTGGACCAAACACCAACTGTATGGAGAACACTCTTGGAAACCCGATTTGTCGATGTTTACCAGGGTACCTACCCATGCCGGACACCATCTCCGGTTGTAAACGAGAATGTGAGGTTGATCCAGACTGTAGGAATGGATTTATCTGTCAGAGCTACCTGTGTGTAGAGAAACCTAATCCCTGTGATCCATCTCCTTGTGGTCCAAACACTGAATGTTCCATCACCTCCTCAGGAAACCCAATTTGTCGTTGTCTGCCGACCTATATTCCTAAACCGGACACTATTACAGGTTGTTCTAGGGAGTGTGAGACGGATAGGGAATGTAACGGAGACAATATTTGCCAGAACTATCAATGTGTTCCTAGACCAGATCCCTGCCAACCTACTCCATGTGGTCCCAATACAGAGTGCAATGCAAACAGACAAGGCAACCCTGTATGTACTTGTCTACCTGGATACTCTCCTCAACCTGACACAATCACAGGATGCACCAGAATTGAGGCTAGAACTCCACCACCAGATCCATGCAGTCCTTCTCCATGTGGTAGGAACACTAGGTGTGAGGTAAATAGGTTGGGAAACCCTGTTTGTCAATGTCTCGTTGGATATATCCCAATGCCGGATACAATCACAGGATGTGAAGAAGAACCAAATCCCTGTGATCCTAATCCTTGTGGTCCTGGAGCTGATTGTAGAGCTCAGGGTAGGCAAGCTGTGTGCTCGTGTCCTGCTGGATATAAAGGAGACCCCTATGCGTTCTGTAAGCGCGGAGACTGTGAATATGATCGCGAATGCTCCAGTAGCCTCGCTTGCTTTGATTACAATTGCCGAGATCCTTGTATTGGAACATGTGGACGTAACGCAAACTGTGAGGTTCGAGATCATCGTCCTATCTGCTCTTGTCCTCAGGGGTTCACCGGAGACCCACTTTCATCCTGCGACCGTCAGATTGTTGTTGGAGGCCGTCAGACCGCACCCGTTAGACAAGAACCTCGTCAAAGTATAGTGATCGGTCAGCAGTATAGTCAACTGAGAGATGAGCCGGTCAGTCGGAGTGTGGTTGGAGGCAGGTATACTCCAAAGATAGAGGAACCATTAGCTAGACATGTAGTAGGGAGCAGATACACCAGCTCAGGGGGCTCAGGTGGACCTTGTGGTTCGTCCTGCAGTCAGGGACGATCAGCTCCAAGCTCCGTGGTTGTGGTCGGATCAGGAGGAAGAAGAAAGAGAGATTTGAGAGCATTAGCTACTATATTTCAACTTACTAAGTTTTTTGCAACAGTAGGCAGATAAACAGAAGAAGAGATATAACACAATAGACAATTAATACTTTCAGCGCCTCACCACCCCCCTCCCGTTCTTTGGGAAGGGTCTCTTAATAATAATATAATGTGATATGAATGACAGTAGATTAATGCCGAATATGAATTCACTAATATTGCTCACCGAACCGAACTAGAAAAAATAAAAAAAGCGTATAATTATTCATCCTGTTTTTTTAGCACGTGTTTCCTGTCATGCTTCTGATTAATTGTAGTTCTTTACAATTTTCACAATTAAAATAAATTTGCATTGTCTTCATTCAGCCAAGGAAACTAAACAACTAAATACAATGAGAACCAGAAAAATGTAAAAAAAAAAGACGACATTAGGCTTACTTCTAACTTAATTAATCACTTTTTAAGTGAAATGGGTCTGTTACACTGCACAATTGACGTGTCTCGTGTTCATTGGACTAATTAAAGAGTCTAACAGTCGTCTTCTATAACTTTCTGGTTTTCACTGTATTCCTGCAAAGGATTTTAGAATGTTGTTTATAGAAAAAGTAAGTTTCACTAAACATGATAATACATTTTTCTATCTGATTAAATTTTTTGAAATAAAAATCAATTGTTTTATCATCAAATTATAAATCTTTGTCATTACTTTGAGATACAAAGAAGTAAGACCTAATTATGGAAATCACAAATGTATATAGAAAATAAATATCAAAGATTCATCTCTCCGTTCTCAGGTTTAGTTGGACATTCTGCAGTTTTTAATTGTATATCTAGGATGTTTAGATGAATACTAACTGGCAACAAGACAGGGTCGAAACTAGAACTTTTTAATGGACGGGGAGGGGNATAGGAGAAATTAAGCTTTTCATATTCCCTGAGAGGGGTTAGTCATTTCAATATTTGAAAAGAGGAAAAAGTAAGATTTTATTTGAAATTATGAGAGAAGCTCGAAAATAATATTTAAGAGATTATGTAAAACTATTCTTAGCAGAGCCGAGAGGGGGTAAATTAGGTTCGCCCCGCCATAGTTGCACCACTGCAACAATCTTTTTTTCTTTATTATGTTCCAGCAAATTCTATTTGGTTAGAATTTTAAAAACTCGTTTTCCGCTTTACAGAGAATATCAGAAATAGATTTTTATTTAGTTTTCTCTGAAAAACTACTTTAAAAATTTCCAAAAATAATCAAATATAATGATTTATTTTTTTTCATTTCACTAAAAATGATATTCCAATTGTTTTAATTTTGTGATGTGTTTCTACTAGAACTTTAGTACAGGGATACCCACAAATGATGAGACTAGAACTTTAGTACAAGGATACCCACAAAGGATGAGACTTAAACTTTAGTACAGGGATACCCACAAAGGATGAGATTTTAACAACTATCTAAAACTTGTTGTTTGAAGTTCAATTCAATGATGAATTTGCTAATTATAATTAGGCCAAGAAAGAAACAAGTTTGACATATAAAAAAAAAGTTTTAAATGTCATAAAGTCGTCGTTGAAGTCTCATATTTTGTACGTATCCCTCACCGTCAAGCAAGCACTAATCTGTATTGTTCTCAGTTCGATCATTTTCCCCAGCAAGCTGTCACTTTCGATCCCAATTTGACTTATTAAACAAACAAAAAACAATTTTATACTTTGTCGTTTCTGGTGCGTATTTACATTAGAAAGATAAAACACTGTAAGATTCACGCTTGTTGAATCATAGATCAAACGCGATTGAGTTGAAATTGAAGAAACCAAACGCATCTAGCTCGGGTTAAACTAGGGTTAAACTAAGGTTAAACTAGGGTGACAGATAAAGTTAATTTCAATTGGATATGTTTAAAGGTCAGACCACAAAATGTATGAGTCTAGGGCTGGGCGCTTTCCGACTTTTTGGAAATCGTTCCGTTCCGTTCTAGAACAAAGGCCTTTAGCTAGATCGTTCCGTTCTCGTTCCTTTTTTCACTGGTTCTGTTCTCGTTCCGTTCCGTCCCGTTCTAAGTCAAAGAGAAAAGAGGTTGTTAGATGTTGATTTTAAGAAAAATAAAGTTCCTCACGACCGAAAAGGATCATTTCTGGTTTGTGCAATGTATATTTTTTGTAAAGAACGCGTTCCTGATTTTAAACGTTCTTTTAAGCTAATATCCGTTCTTTCCATTTCGTTCCGTTCTTCTCCGTATCATTCCAATATTTTTAAGAACGCGTCTTTGCGTTCCGTTCTTTTTTTAAAACGATGGGATCGTTCTTGATAGTTCTTTTCGTTCTTGTGAAAGAATGATTGTTCTTCAAGAACGACGTCCACATCTCACAAGAAACACTGAAACTTTAGAAAAAATCCTTCATGTATATTTTAGAGAGAAGAAACCATAAAATGATGACATAAAAATATTTTTTACTTGAATATCCAGAGCTCTTTTTTAAATTAAAAATTCTATTTTATTGTTTTAATTAGCTTCCATGATTTGTATTTTTTCAAAGTTCTTGTTGTACAATGTACAAATATAATTGTACAATTATACTTATTAAGAGATCAATGGCGGCTATTTCTGTATTTTGAGGAAGGACTAAATGGTAATCAAACATTTATTTATAAACGTTATTTAGAATTGTTCTATACTGCAATCTCAGAAATATCATGACCTTTCAGAGGGGTATAGTACATATACCCCTCTACATATACATAGATATGCAAACAGGTAGAAACCTTCTTCCTAAATATTTGTCCCTTTACTACAGGGAGAAAGAAGAGACATCTGTATTAGCTTAATGTTTACTTTCTATATTCCTGCTGCCATCTGTAGGAAATATGTATTTTGATAGTTCAAATTCTCTACTTATGGAGTTGCTATCTGAGACAGGTTGATCAATTAATTTAAATTGTTAGGTAGGTGCCAAGGTATGATTTATGCATGAAGAATTCGTCGTTGTCTATAATAACCAACCAAACGATAGAATATTTGTTAAAAACATAAAAAAAATATTATTATCAGAAGAAAAAACTTAATGTACAAATTATATCTTTGTCTTGTCAATTCCCCACCATTGTTTTATTTGTATTGGCTTTATTACGTACAATTTTCAATTTACATTGTCGATACTATATGTACACATATTGAGTTTTCATGCATAAACAATTCCTGGAGAGGATAAACATGTGTAAAACTATAGATGGTTCTGCTAATCAACCTAATATAAGATCTCAAAATGTCTACCTACTTTCAAATCTACGTAAATTTCATCTATGATTGGAGCATTTCTACTTTATTCGCTTTAAATACAGGGTTACCAACAAAGAAAAATAAGCCATTAAAGCAAAATGAACATGGATTCATATGTTTGAAACTCGTGGTTCGTCTTGAGTTCTAGTTTTAAGAACATAAAATTTACAATTTACAACTTCACAGAAGGTGGTATAGTTGATTTTTAGCAATCAACCTTATTTTATGAGTTAATGCTCGTTCTCATGAAGGAATTATTGACGTAATGTTAAGATACAGGGTGTCTCACGATTCATGACAGTACCAAATTCAAATAATATAAATTTAATGGGACACCCTGTATTCCTATCATAAAGTGCAAACACTCTGCAGTTGTAATGAATTCTCGACGAACTTTTGTAAAATGCACAATAATGCATATTTAAGAAATACCACCAAATTGCAAGTGCATAATGCATAAAAAACATCCTTACCGGCATAATATCCGCTTCATATTGATGTATCCTACACTAATATATTTCCTACTTCGCTGTATCATACTCCTCTGTATCCTACTCCTCTGTATCCTAACCCTCTCTATCTTTACTCCTCTGTATTCTACTCCTTTGTATCCTACTCCTCTTTATTCTTCTCTTCTGTATCCTTCTCCCTTGTATTCTGCTACTCTGTATCCTACCTTTGTATCCTACTCATCTGTATCTCTCCCCTTTCTATCATACTCCTCTGTACACTACTCCTCTGTATCCTTCTTCTCTGTATCCTACTTCTCTGTTTCCTACTCCTCTGTTCCAACTTCTCTCTATTCTACTTCTCTCTATTCTACTTCTCTCTATTCTACTTCTCTGTATCCTACTCCCCTGTATTCTGCTCCTCTGTACCCTACTCCTCTGTATCCTACTTCTCTGTATCCTACTACTCTATATCCTACTCCTCTGTATCCTACTCCTCTGCATCCTACTCCTCTGTATCCTACTCCTCTGTATCCTACTCATCTTTATTCTACTCCTCCGTATCCTATTCCTTTATATCCTACTCCTCTGTATCTCTCCCCTCTGTATCATACTCCTCTGTATCCTACTCCTCTTTATTCTACTCCTCTGTATCATACTCCATTGTATCCTACTTCTCTATATCATACTCCTCCGTATCCTAATCCTCTGTATCCTACTCCTCTGTATCCTACTCCTCTGTGTCCTACTCCTCTGTATCCTACTCCTCTGTTTCCTACTCCTCTGTATCCTACCCCTCTGTATTCTACTCCTCTGTATCCAACTCCTCTGTACCCTAGTCCTCAGTATCCTACTCCTCTGTATCCTACTGCTCTGTATCCTAATCCTCTTATCCTACTCTTCTGTATCCTACTCCTCTGTATCCTTCTCCTCTGTATCCTACTCCTCTGTATCCTGCTACTCCCCAGTTTATACTACCCTACTGTATTCTACTCATCTCTATATTTATTCCTCTGTATCATACTCCTCTGTATCCAACTCCTCTGTATTCTACTCCTCTGTATCCTACTCCTCTGTATCCTACTCCTCTGCATCCTACTCCTCTGTATCCTACTGCTCTGTATCCTAATCCTCTGTATCCTACTCTTATGTTTCCTACTACCCAGTATATACTACCCCTTTGTATCCTACTCCACTCTATATTTATTTCTCTTTATCATACTTCTCTGCATCCTACCCCTCTTTTTATTTTTACTCCTCTGTATCCTACTCCTCTGTATTCTACTCCTCTGTATCCAACTCCTCTGTATCCTACTCCTCAGTATCCTACTCCTCAGTATCATACTCCTCTGTATCCTACTTCTCTGTATCCTACTCCTCTGTATCCTACTCCTGTGTATTCTACTCCTCTGTATCCAACTCCTCTGTATCCTACTCCTCTGTATCCTACTCCTCTGTATCCTGCTACTCCCCAGTTTATACTACCCTACTGTATCCTACTCATCTCTATATTTATTCCTCTGTATCATACTCCTCTGTATCCAACTCCTCTGTATTCTACTCCTCTGTATCCTACTCCTCTGTATCCTACTCCTCTGTATCCTGCTACTCCCCAGTTTATACTACCCTACTGTATCCTACTCC